CTTTTTTTTTTTAATTGGAAAGGCAGATTTACAGAGAGAGAAAGGAAGGAAGAGACAGAGTAAGGTCTCCCATCCATCCCCTGGTTTACTTCCCAAATAGCCATAGTGGTCCAAGTGAAGCTGATCTGAAGCTAGGAGCCAGGAGCTTCTTCCGGGTCTCCCATGTGCATGCAGGATCCCAAGGCTTTGGACCGTCCTTCACTGCTTTCCCAGGCCACAAGCAGGGCACTAGATTTGAAGTACAACAGCTGAGGCTTGAATTGAATGGAATGCCAGCATTGCAGATAGAGGCCTAGCTTGCTATACCACAATGCTGGTCCCTCTGTTTTATTTCAAGCATTTAAAATAATGTGGTTCAAAAATCTAAACTGGGGCTCGGTGCGATGGCGCAGTGGTTAAGGTACTCGCCTTGCATGCCCGGGATCCCATATGGGCGCCAGTTCTAATCCCTGCAGCCCCACTTCCTTTCCAGCTCCCTGCCTGTGGCCAGGGAAAGCAGTTGAGGACGGCCCAAAGCTTTGGGACCCTGCACCCTCGAGGGAGACCTGGAAGAGGCTCCTGGCTTTGGATCTGCATAGCATCGGCCGTTGTGCTCACTTGGGAAGTAAATCATCGGACGGAAGATCTTCCTCTCTGTCTCTCCTCTCTGTATATCCGCCTTTCCAATAAAAATTTTTAAAAAATCTAAACTGTACGAAAGGGTAAACTCACTACATCGGCATTCTCAACAGACATGACCTTGGCAGTAGCCCTAGGAGAATCACTCTTTCCTGGTTAACTTTTTACTGCTCTGTTATTAGGAGGGGTGGCTTGAGGGTTCCCATGGCTCCTCCCTTGTGTCAAATCCAGGTGGGCTTCCTAGCAGCAGCCCATCCCTGCAGGACCACCTCTGCCCTTCTGCCAGGGAGGTTGGAAAGGGCAGGACAGGCCCTGTTGAATTGGCCGTAGCCTGGCTGCTGCAGGGTTTGGTCACTTGTGGGCAAGCATCAGGTGTCCATAGCTCAGAGGGCTAGTAGAAGTTTCCACTCAAGAAAAACAAACAAACAAAAAACCAAACAAAAAAAAAAAAACACAAAGTTGCCGCTCAGGGGCAGGTCTTGGAGTTTTCCATCAGCGCCTGCATTTCCACAGTAGCAGGGCCTCTTTCCAGTCCTTGGACTGGGGTAGGGCGGGGCAGGAGGAGTCATGGCCTTGAGCAACAGTGTGGGGTGCTCAGGCCTGAAAGGGGCACTGAGTAAGCATCAGGAGCTGCTGGACTTTGATACCATCTGCAAGAGACCAGCACTGCTCGGAACTTGCAATTCTGGGAAAGAACCAGTAATGACCAATCAGGAAGGACCAAGGGTGCTGCCTGCATAACCTTGCTGATGGGCTTTGCATCCCCACCCCTGCTCTTCCGGGTTAGAACTGTGTGGATGGGATGGCGCACATGCCCAGACCTCCTGTGAGGGCGCACTGGCTGGAGTGGGAGAGGCAGCTGCCAGGGCCCCTCCAGGAGCTGGCGTTCCTTCCATCCGCACTCGGGGCCAGCTGCCTGGGGAAAATGCGCAGATCCAGGGACTTCTTTCTTGATCTTCCTTCTAGATTTCCTGAAGAGATCCTCACCTGCTTTTAAAACCACATTGTGTTTCACACTTGCACAAAATTGTTATGATGATCATGGCACATAAAGGCTGTGGAGGCCCTAGGAGACTGACATGCGACCCTCGGCTTTGTATGCAGGTGCCTCATGTGGCCTCGGGGGTCACTGGGCTCCAGCCAGTGTCCTCTGCAGGGGCAGGGGGAAAGGCAGTCGAGGCTCGTCACCTGCCCCTGGGCTGACCACTGGGCAGCGGGTCCGGCATACTGTCCAATGATGAAGAGGTGAGGAGCTGATTGTCGCTTAGGAAGCCGGTTCTGGGGTGTGCAAGGCAATCCAGGCAGATGCCGTCTTTGCAGGTGTACTTGGCTGGTGCCACAGGGGCAGCCCGGCCCGAGTGAAGTGCAGTGCAGAGGACCAGGCTGCATTGCCCATGGCATAAGTGGACCCGAGTGCCCAGCAGGCGTCTCTGCCTCTCTGGGGCCCGAGGCTCATGAGCAGCAGTTCCCATCATTGCCCTGGGCATTGTGTTTCTGTATCTTGACTCGGCTCAACTTGCTGGGTGCAGGTTCTGCTCAAGGAAAATCTCCCCACTTGGGTCCACATTTGGGGACAAAGGGGTTCCAAAGAGGCCATCAATGGGTGAGATGGACCCCTCCCTCAGGGTGTATGAAGACATGCCCACAATCACCCTGATGATGCCCAGCCGTTGCCCAGACCATCCCTCCTGGTCACTCCCCGAGGCGAGAGAAATGAGTGTGAAGGCACCAAGGGAGCAGAGGACATCTTAGGCCCCAGGGGCTTTGTAGGAGAACCCATTTGAGATGTGGGAGATTGCCCACCTTCCCATTAGTGGTGAGGACCTGGGAAGGCCACTGACAGAGTGTGTGGTGCTGGCATAGGTGGCAGGCGACACCTTGTCTTCAGGTGAGCAGGGAGGATCTTTGCCTTTGGATCAGACATGGCCCTTTCTGCACAGTGATGCCGAGCAGGTGTGGGAAGACAGTGATGTAGTGTGCCACCCGGGGACATGGAGCAGGAAACCCACTCTCCCTACCCAGCCCCGACATCCCGCAAAGCCATGCCAAACTGCATTGGGCAGAGTGGCCTCAGGTATCTGCCTGTCTGTGGTATCCCCCGACCCTGGCAACCTCACTGGCCTGGCAAGAGGCAAGGGAGTAGGGGCTTTGCCCAGGGCCCACAGAGAACAAGCACAGCCGAAGGGCCTGCATGGGAAGGCAGACAGATTCAGTTAGGTCAAGCCCAGAAGGTCAGGATTTGGAACCCCAAGACTTTTATTTTGGGGAGACAAGAGTAAGTGAATTAGGGGTGAGTGGGCTCAGCCATAGGACTGTTTCTGCAACCTAGATGTTTGGGAACCCCAGGGGAGGGAGGCCCCCCGTCAAGGCATTGTTTCCTTTTCCAGGCGAGGGGTCTGCCCTCCCACTGTCCAGCACCCCTGGGTTAGCATTGTTCCTGCTACTCTTTCTCACCAAGGACACGCCTGCAAGCAGCTGTGGCAGGAAGCTGGGCTTTTAAACAAATTTTATTATTTTATTTGAAAGAGAGAGGGGGATCTTCTCTCTGCTGGTTCACTCTCCAGTGCTGGGCCAGGCCAAAGCCAGGAGCCCCATCATGGTGTCCATATGGGATGCTGGCATAGCAGGCAGAAGCTTAACACACTACACCACGGCACCAGCCTCAAGTTTTAAAAAACATTGACTTGCTACCTTAACAGCCTATTTGTGGAGTAGAGTGTGATAAGTTGGTAGTAGTGCATGCAGGATAAGGATGAAGTGTGGGTACTTGGCATCTGCTTGTCCTCAAATCTTCATCATTGCTTCGTGTTGGGAGACTCTGAGCTCCTGCCTCCTAGTTATTTTGAGCTATGGTCAGCACGAGGCATCCTGCTGTGGGGGATCTTTCACCTGCCAGGTGCAAGGTGCTGCCTGTTACACACCCCCTCCTGCCCTGGGAACCAGGGACTGCTGTTCTACCTGAGATCCCTTCTGGCTCCCTGTGGGTGAGGTAGAGCAGGGGAGGGGGAGAAGCTGTGCCCCATAGTGGGCTTCAGTCTTGTATGCTGGAGTGTGGCTGCATGCCCTGTGCCCAGCGCCTGGGGCCCCGTGATCGTGCTCTTAGGGGATCTGCCTCGTGCTTGCTTTCTCTGCCTTCTTGTGGCTCACAGGTAGCACCTGTGCAGGTAACGGACTATGGTCACTGGCCAGCCCAGCTGGGTGGGAGCGTCTCCTGCCTCAGGCGCCCACCCAGATGGGAGCCGTTCACCAGGTGAGGGCCTTGAAAGACTGCCCAGGTCTAGGTTGAGATCAGATCCTGAGCCCATGCCAAAGCAACATGCCTGCCGCAGGAGCCGCTGCGGTGTTGGGCTCGTTCTCAGATTGGGTTTCCTTCTGGGTGCCTTGCCTTCAGAGTACCTTTGTTATTTTTGAGTTGGAGGAATAAGCGAGGAATTCTAAACAACTGCTGGTGCTGGATGCTCTAGAACCCCAGGGTGCTGCAGGGGGTGCCTGCTCCAAGCAGAGGGGATTGTGCACACAGTGTTGAGCAGGTGGGAGGAGGGCTGGAGGAACTAAAGGCATCAAGAGAGGTTATCTGAAGGTGAGGAGCTGCCTGCTGGGAGCTGCTCCCGACCTGGGCCTGTAGATGAATCTGCCACAGCTGGGACTTACGCCCTCCCACTGGGCTGCAGCCCAGACACCCCCCACAGCCCCCAGGAATGCTGCTCAGGGTCTCTGTCTACATTCTCCACTGGCTGCTGCTCAGCCTCGAGCCACGCCTGGCTCCAAAGAGGCCAGAGATGCAGCCCAGCTGAATGAACAGCAGACCCAGAAGTAGGTTTGTCAAACAAGGTTTTCTTTTTTTAATTAGTTTTAGTGGGAAGACAGATCTACAGAGAGAAGGGGATACAGAGACAAAGATCTTCCATCTACTTGGTCACTCCCCAAGTGACCTGAGTTGACCAGAGCTGAGTTGATCTGAAGACAGGAGCTAGAAGTTTCTTTTGGGTCTCTGGTGAGGGCGCAGGATCCCAAGGCTCTGGGCCATCCTCTATTGCTTTCATGGGTCACAAGCAGACCTGGAAGGGAAATGGCACAGCCGGGATATGATCCAGCACCCATATGGTATCCTGGCACAAGCAAGATGAGGATTTAACCAGTTGAGCATTCGCCCCAGGCCCAAGGTTTTCTGCTACTTTGTGGGTGCTATCCGGCACCAGGGGGAATGTTATTCTACAGCAGAGTCAGCGCTCTAGACACGTGTGTGCGTTCCTGAGCCTCGTACAAAGCTGGGGTTTTCTTTGAATTCTCCTACCTCCTCCTGTTCTTCCATTTTCCCTCCTCCCCCGGCCTCCTGATGCCACTCACCTGACCCCAACGTGCTCTGATTGCAGGGGGCCCTGGCCCAACACCGGCCCTGGTGGAAGGCCCAGCTGTCCATGTGGGAGCCAGTGCTGTTTGGGACCTGGGACGGTGTGTTCACGTCATGCATGATCAACATCTTCGGGGTCGTGCTTTTCCTGAGGACTGGCTGGCTGGTGGTGAGTAAAGCGGCCCCCGATAGGGCCCCCCCCTCCGGTAGGGCTGGCCCAGCCACCCCTCCTCGCTCTCCACGGTGCAGGAGAGACCCCTCTGGGATGCTCGTGGAACAAGAGCAAGCACAGGGTGGCCAGTGGCTGTGTTTGTCAATGGGAGTCAGCCCCCAGGCAGGATAAGGCCCCAGGGATGTCATTTGGGCTAGCCCTGACAAGGCAGCCACAGGCTAATCATTGATGGCAAGCTCATTTTTAAGCTGATAATCCACGAATTATGTTATAAATACCCAGTAGCCCCTGGCAGAAAAAGGCAACTGGAGGAAGCAGGGGTCTCTTTTTTTCCCTCGTGGGCAGGGGCCTGTGGGAGGTTACCAGTGTGTCCACTGTGCCACCTCCTGGCACCATCTTGCCGTGAGCCCACAAGACCCATAATCGAGAGGCAACTCTATTTAAAAATATATTTATTTATTTATTCTAATTGGAAAGTCAGATTAACAGAGAAAAGGAGATAGAGAAAGATCTTCTGTCTGTTAATTCACTCCAAAAGTGACTGTAAATGGCTGGAGCCTATCCAAAGCCAGGAGCTAGGAGCCTCCTCTGGGACTCCCACACAGGTGCAGGGACCCAAGGCTTTGGGCCGTCCTCCACTGCTTTACCAGGCCATATGTAGGGAGCTGGATTGGAAGTAGAGCAGCTGGAACATGAACTGGCACCCACATGGGATCCTGGTGCATGTAAAGCAAGGATTTAACCACTAGGCTACCACACCTGGCCCATGAAGCACATCTTACTGGACACCTTCTGGGGACCAGGTACTACTTGGTGCTAATAGGAACCCCAAAGTAAGACCCTACACTGCTGCTAGGCAGGGCAGGAAGGCGGCCTCCGCCTGGACACCTGCCTAGATTTTTTTTGAGCATTGCAGGCAGAACTCAACATTGGGAGAAATTTCAAGACAGCCTTAAATCCCTCAGGGACAGGATAAGCTTGAGTGGCTACTGAGGTGTCCAGGAGAACTTCCTAAAGGAGGTGTGAATGAGGCATGTCTCAGAGGGTAAGCTGGACTGGACAGGTCAGAGAAAGCGATTGAACAGGGTGTAGATTACATTAGTCAGGACCCCCCAAAGGAGCAGAGAGTCAAGGCAGAAAGAGGTGCCATGCTGTGGGGTTTGTAGTTAGCAGGTTGGAAGGCCACTTCCCCCCGCCGCCCCCGAATGCTTCAGGAAGCATTGAAGCTGGAGTCCAATGCTAGAGATGGAGGAGGGGTGTCTGTGCCGTGGAAACCCAGCCTGCACTCTGCGGCCTTCAGCTGATACACAAGGCCCATGCCGGAGAGCTTGCTCGCTTTCATGCGAAGCCCACTGGTGGCAGGTGTTTATCCCGCCTGAGAAAGCCCCTCACAATGTCATCCAGGTCAGTGCTAGGCCGAACTGCTGAGCACTGCAGTGGAGCTAAGTGGACAGGCACATCACTGTCACGTGGCTGAATCCTGCTTCAGTGGAAGCACAAGGGTTCCTTACCCCGTGGGGTCCCTCACCGAGAGTCCTGGGTGCAGTAGGACTGTCCTGAGCTCTCACTCCTCTCCTCTTCCCCTTCGTAGCCTCCAGGTTCAGCCGGAGTCAAGCCTGGAGAGGTCTGAAAGGTGCTTTGTATGATAGACACAGGAAGCTTAGATTAGGGTCAGTGAGCTCTCTGGGGTGGATGCTAAGAATTCCTGCTTCTCGCAAACTCCCGGATTGATTGGGACGCCACCCTCAGCCGAAGCCTGCAGCTCAGGATCCTCATCCTGACGTCAGCCTCTGGCTCCTCGGATCAGCCCCTGTTTGTGCAGCCCATGTCCTAGGGAGGCCCAGGAACCCGATCACTGTGGCGGGTGAGGCCTGTCAGTGAGAGTGGGGGTCTCTGAGGCTCTGATCCATGCAAGGGATGGTGATGGAGTGTGCAAGGAAAACCTCCCTCTGCTTGACTCTCTAACAGGGAGAGAATGAGATGGAGAGATCTTCCATCCTCTGTTTCACTCCCCGAATGCCACAACAGCTGGGGCTGGGCTAGGTCAAAGCCAGAAGCCGGGAGCTTCTTCCAGGTCTGTCACATGTGTGCAGGGGTTCAAGCACTTGGACTGTCTTCTGCTACTTTCCCAGGTGCATTAGCAGGGAGCTGGGGATTGGGAGTGGAGCAACTGGGTCTATAACCGGGGCCCATGTGGGATGCCAGTGTCACGCTCGCAGGCAATAGCCTAACCTCTTATGCCACAGTGGGCACCCATCTAAGTGCCCATCCTGGCGCTCAGGCACTAAGGCTTATTCTGTTTTGTTTGCATTTTGGTTCCAGAATGAAAATTTAAGTTGCATTAGTTATTTGTGGCTTTAAGGCAACCTGTTTTCAGCACTTAACAGCTGCAATCAACAAATACCTGTTGCTTTCCAGCATCTGGAGCTCACGGATCCAAGTGCAGCTTAGCTGGGTGCCTCTTGGCTGGGCTCTCATGTGGCTGTGGGCATCTGAGGTTGAGCTGGGGGAGAATCTACTTCCATATTGCATCTGAGAAACTTACACAACTACCATTTGTTGATTAGAAATACAGCACTCAAATAGCTGTTGGCAGGCCTTGGTCCTGGCCATAGGGGCTTCTGTAGGGTTTCCTCTTGGCAGAGCAGCTGGCTTCTCCTGGCTTTGTACTCTCTAGTAACTGCAAGTAAGCCAGCAAGCACCTGGGACAGAATTCATAGTCTTTTAAAAAGTTTTTAAAGTTTGTTTTCATCTGTTTGAAAAGCAGAGCAACAGGGAGAAAGAAATAGAACTTCTGTCTGCTGGTTCCTTCCCTAAATGCCCGTAACGGCTGGGGGCTAGGCCAAAGCCCGGAGCCCAGAATGTCATCTAGGTCTCCTCTGTGAGTGCAAGCAGCCCAAGCACTTGAACCATCACCCTATGTCTCCTGTGCACATCAGTGGGAAGTTGGATCAAAAGAGGGGAGCAGGACTTGATCTCAGGAACCCTGATATGGGATGTGGATATTGAAGTGGCAGCCTAACCTGCTTCACCATAACACCCACCCCAGCCAGACTTCACATCCAAATCTCAGAAGTGATAACTCATTGTTTCTGCAATAATCCATTCATTCAAAGTGAGTTACTCTGTGGATAAAACCAATAGCCTAAATCAAAGGGATAAGCATACTTAATGTTGTACTTAAGAAAAAATGAATTACAACTAATATGATCGGTTTGAATAACTAAAAAAAAATCAGTCTTAAAGTGTCACTAGATCCAAGCCAAATTCAAGGTAGGGATGTGTTAGGGTCAAGGCTCTTGGGGGCCACCTTTGGGGTGGCCCACACCTCCCAATACAAGGGTACTTCCAAAAGTTCATGGGAAAATGCATGTTATGAGGCAATGCTAGCAGGACCCTTTGGAAGGAGCCTCAGGCAAACTCTTGGCCTGAAATGATTTCTTTCTAGTTGTCAGTGCTGACATTAGTTCACCTAAAGAGAGTCACAGTTGATCACAAAAATACAGGCAAATGGGAAATGCCAAAAATAGACTAGAGCTTTTAGAGAATGGCATAGGATTAAAGCAAGTCGAGGTCATGCCAAAATGATGTGAAATAAGAAATGTTAACTCCGAAGAACAACTAACTCGGATAACATACTTCTAATTTGGAGAATCTCAAGGCGGTGCATCTGGTAGGAATGATGGTTTTGGTGCAGGACAGTGAACATGGTCACAGCAGACACCTTGAAAGGGTGAACTAGGGAAGAAGCCAGGAATGGGTCATTTCATGAAAAATGGAAGCCCAGCAAAAGCAGTGTTCTCACCCAGAATCATTCATGGCCGGGTCCTTCCAGAAATCCCGCTGGCTTTGTGAGCCATCAGCAGTGGCGTCAGTGGTTGCATCCATTCCTAAATGGCTTTTGGAAGCTTTTTCTCCACTAAACTCACAGTTATGCCATCCTCCCTGCTAGCCATTGAAGAGGAAATGGAGTAAATGGAAGATAGAGAAGGTTCATAAATATCATTTCTGTGAATAGCTGACTGTATAAGCACCTGTGTGAAAGATGTCATTCAGGGTGCCTACCTAGTTAATTCTCCTAGAGTTCAATGTTGCTTGGCCATGTAAGAAATCAAGATTGTAGCTATCTCTACTTTGCAGAAGAGGACGGAGCAGAGGGAAGTGAGGACCCAGCAGCCACAGGTGCAGCTTGTGCCACTCACGTGGGAGTTGAACTCAGGGTCATGGCTGGCAGGCAGCATTAAGTTTAGAGTCAGAGTTGCCTCTCTGTGGGTGCCACCGGGGTGGCTGTTCAGAGGACCCTGCCTTGGCCAGAGACTCGTAGATTGTGGTGGCTACTGCTCATTGCACCCCGGTACAGTCCTTAACTTCTCAGAGGGCTACATTTTACCTTAAAAAAAAAATAGTGGTGGGTCCAGCACAGTGGCCTAGGAGCTAAAGTCCTCGCCTTGAATGTGCCAGGATCCTGTATGGGTGCCAGTTCTAATCCTGGCAGCTCCACTTCCCATCTAGCTCCCTGCTTGTGGCCTGGGAAAGCAGTGGAGGACGGCCCAAAGCCTTGGGTCCCTGCACCCATGTAGAAGACCTGGAAGAGGTTCCTGGCTCCTGTCTTCGGATTGTCACAGTACCAGCCATTGTGGTCACTTGGGGAGCGAATCATCAGATGGAGGATCTTCCTCTCTGTCTCTCCTCCTCTCTGTATATCTCTGACTTTCCAATAAATAAATAAATCTTAAAAAAAAAACTGGAAAGAGGTAGGCAGCCAAGCTGGCCCCCTGGCAGGCTCACATCCCATGTTTAGGTACCTGGGTTCCAATCCCGGCTGTTTCCGATCCCACTTTCCTCCTGATACTTACCCCAGGAGGCAGCAGTAATGAATTCAGGAAGTTGGGCTACTGCCCCTCCCATGGGAGACCTGGAGTTAACAGTTGCTGCCTCCAGAGTTTTGCCCTGGCCAGCCTTCTGACCAAAATTTGGGGGTGGGAGGTAGGTTCTATGGAGAAGATCATGTGCTGGCCAGCTCTCTTCCCGAGGGCCTGGTCTCACCCCAGACCAGCCATGGGGTCCCCAAAAGTCATCTCATGAGCATGGGTGTGGATCCTCCTGGCCACTGGGCCACCTCTAAGTTTGTCTGGGCCCCAGTGGGCAGGAGGAAGAGTTGTGGTAAAACATAAATCTTGCCTAGAAATAGGGACCTGGGAAGAGACCAGGGCTCTGTGTCATAGTCCTGGCTTTGTACGTCCTAAGGCCCTGGCACCCAGAGGAGTCAAGGAAGGGCTGCAGGGACAATGCATATGGAGAGGGGTGTGTTGAACCTCAGAGCTAGAGTTAGCCTATCCAAAGCCTCCACATGAGCGGGGAGGCTTGGGGTGGGGAAGGAGGTGGGGTCTGCAGATCACAACCCCTTCAGTGTACCTACTGACATGTAGCTTGGGCATCATGCTTTGGGAGACCGGAGACCAGTCAAACACTGTGGGGCTGTGGCTCTTGGGGTGCTGGTAGGTGGGGTGGGGTGGGGTTCATTTCCTCACCTGACCTCGCTGTTTCTGCTGCAGGGCAACACGGGTGTGCTGCTGGGCATGTTCCTGGTGTCCTGTGTCATCCTTGTGGCCCTTGTCACCGTGCTGTCCGGTATCGGCGTGAGCGCCCATGGCGGCGTGGGCAGTGGCGGCGTCTACTCCATGATCTCCTCGGTCCTTGGTGGGCAGGCGGGAGGCACCATTGGGCTGCTGTACGTCTTCGGACAGGTGAGGCTGCCACCCACCCCCGAGTCCCCAGGCCACACTGCTCCCATCTTCTCATGCACTCCCTCTTTGATATGGATGGAGGTGAGGAAGCAAGCAGACAGTGGCTCCTGGGGCAGACACTGTGTCCAGGAAGGGGACTGTGAATGAGGGACAGCAGTGTGGGGCTGGCCAAAGGTGCTCAGGAGGCCGCGGAGGAGGCGGAAGGTCCAGGACTTGTTTAGTGGAGATGCAGGAATGGTGACTTGAGGCTGAGAACAGCCAAGTGCAGGCACTAAGAAGCAGTTCACCGTGCGCATTTCTTGGCTTGCAAGCGTTTGTGTGACAGTGTGAAGGGTGGTGGTTGGTTTAAAGATGTGGCTTAAATCCAGGAATTGTTTTAAATAAGAGTCACCAGCTTCTCGTCCAAGAAAGCATCCTTTTTGGTTCTTTTAGGCATTGGAGTATTTCATAGTCTGTAACGTATCTGAGTCTGTAACAGCTGCAAGCTCTGTGTGCATGTGTGTGTGTGTGTGCACGCAGACACACGTGTGTGTCTAGGACGTGAATGAGAGGCAGGTGGGTTGTCACTGTTTTTTTTTAAAGATTTGCATTTATGTGAAAAATAGAAAAGATTTTGAGAGAGATCAATCTTGCATTTACTCATCTACCTCCCTTTTCTGCACGTGGCTCAAGTCAGAACCAGGGGCTCCATTTGGTCTTTGATGTGGGCAGCAGGGCCCGAGTGCTTGGGCCATCATCTGTTTTCTTCCTAAGCATATTAGCAGGGAGCTAGATCAGAGCAGAGCAGCTAGCACTCGAACCAGTGGATATAAGCGATGTTGGTATGGCGGATGGATACCTAACCTGTGTAACGCCATGCTGGCCTTTGCTCTACCTTTTTTTTTTTTTAAGACTTTTTAAGAAAGAGGAGAGAGAGATATATATCTTCCATCTGCTAGTCCACCCTCTCCCACCCCCCGATGGCCAGAGCTGAGCTGATACAAAGCCAGGAGCTTCTTCTAGGCCACAACCCAAGAAGCCATTGTGTTAACTTCCCTGCTGGTGTTGCTTCCGTTCCATGTGGGCTGCGGAGTGTCCTCTGGTCCCCAGCTTGGGGGTGTGCTTCTGCTTTGTCTGAAACGGGCCTCGGGTCTCTGGTCAGTGTGTGGTTATAACATACTCCTTCCACAGGCTGAAGCATCTAGCATGTCTGTGCTGTGTGAAGCACTTGCAGGTTTACATTCACGAGGGCCATAGCCAGTGCTTTGCTTGTGATGGACCGTTTTTGGCATTAGGATAGCAGTGGCCTTACAGTGGGAGAGCAGGCAGGTGCTCTGTCCTCGTCTGTGCTTCGGAAGAGTCTGTGAAGGACTGGTGTCCATTCTTCTTTAAGCATTTGGTGCCGGTCGGTGGCGAGACCATCTGCTCATGGGTTTTGCTTTGGGAGAAGTCTCAGGATTACTAATTCAGTCATTTTACTTCAATAGGCATATCCTCAGTTTCGATTTTTTTCTTGGGTCAGTTTTAGTTGCTGGTGGTTTTTGAGGAACTTTTCATCTAGATTATGGAAGGCATCAGCATGGCATTTGTCCATGGATTCCTTTAATAATCCTTTTTGCTTTTAGACTGCAGTGTGGTCACGCTTTTCCATTCCTGATATTGGTAATTGGAGTTTTCTTCCTCTTCTCTTTGATCATTTTTGAGAATGATTTGTCTACAAAGAACCAATTTTGGAGATTTTACTTGTTCCTCTGTTGTTTTCCTAGTATTTAAAAATTATTTCTGGGGCTGGCACTGTGGCTCACAGGTTAATCGTCTACCATTAAGCACTGGCATTCCATATGCACACTGGTTCATGTCCTGGCTACTCCGCTTCCTATCCAGCTCCCTGCTTGTGACCTGAGAAAGCAGTCGAGGACGGCCCAAAGCCTTGGGGCCCTGTACCCATGTAGGAGACCAGGAGGAAGCTCCTGGCTCCTGGCTCTTGGCTTCAGATCAGCTCAGCTTCAGCCATTACAGCCACTTGGGGAGTGAACCAGTAGACAGAAAAATCTTTCTCTTTGTCTCCCTCTGCTTTTCAAATACAAATAAATCTGTTTAAAAAAAAAAAAAAGAGGTACAGAGAGGAGGAGAGACAGAGAGAAAGATCTTTCTGTCTACTGGTTCACTCCCCAAGTGGCTGCAATGGCTAGAGCTGAGCAGATCCAAACCCAGGAGCCTAGAGCCTCTTCCCGGACTCTGACGTGGGTGCAGGGTCCCAAGGCTTTGGGCCGTCCTGGCCTGCTTTCCCAGGCCACAAGCAGGGAGCTGGATGGGAGGTAGGGCCACTGGGAGATGAACTAGTGCCCACAGGGGATCTCAGCATGTGCAAGGTGAGGATCTTAGTCATTAGTCTATCACCTTGGGCCCCAAAATAAATATATCTTTAAAAAAAATTGTGCTCTTACCTTAGTTCCCATCCTCCTACTTGCTCTGCTTATTGCTGCTGCTCTTCCTGGTTTTAGGGCTTAGGGTTAGGCATTGCTTAGGATTCTTCCATCCTCCAGTTGCAGCTGGGTCCCTCAGGTCCCTTGTGAGACCTCTCATCCCAGGACACTGGTACTGTCATTTCATTTCAGTGATTGTCAGAGCAGGTTGTCTGGGTTTGCTCCTAGGCAGAGCTTGGCAGCTTTCTGTAAAGGACCAAACGGGAACTATTTGAGGTTCTGTAAGGCCCATGTCTCGGTCACAGCTAGTGCATGCTGCCAATATATTACATAGGGAGGCAGTGAGAGTAGGGGGAAAAAACAGCTATAACCGTCCCCTAATAATTAATTGTGAAAACAGGAGCAAGCAAGATTTGGCCATGGGTCAAAGTTTTCCAAGCTCTGCCTTGGAGCATCAGAGTTTAGGAAATTATAAAATTTTATTGTTCATCCCCAACTGTTGCAAAGCCTGTCCCTCTCCTGTTTCTCTGAGGCCTTGCTGGAGTTCCTACCCTGGGGACCAGAGTCTGGGCCAGTGGAGTGGCCAGTGGCTGGAGACCCTGTTCACTCCCAGCTCTAGTTATCTGCACGGGCCTCAGGGTTTCTTTGGAACACCAGCGTGTCTAGCATCAGCCTGCATGGACGGGTGTAAAAGCCTCGGTGATGGCAAACATGCTCCATGCCAGACTTGATACAAAACAACTCAGAATTGGAAAACCACGCAAAGCCGGCTGAAGGTGGGACGTCAGCTCCCCTGGGAACACGTGCCCACCAAAGGGCCGTGAGTGCGGCTTTAGTTCCTCCGGCTGGAGAGTGAGGAGGAGCTGCTGGAAGCAGGCCGGAAGGCGCAGGTGTTCAGTTTATCCCTGGACACATCTAAGTCCCTTCCCTCTTACTCCTATGAAGAACATGGGATTTTGAATCCAGCCGTATAGGGCTCTGCTGTGGCTGTGCAGCCACTTGGGGAGTGAACCAGTGAACATAAGATCCTTCTCCCTGTAAATCTGACTTTCCAATAAAATAATAAGTAAATAAATCTTCAAAAAAACAAAAACCAGACAATTTTGTTCCCCCCTTTCTCTGCTGGAGTGACTGGTTAAACTGCCAGCTCCCCCTCCTGTCTCTGTACAGCTGACAGACAGGTGCTCCCATGGAGTTGTGAAGTGCTTGCTTGTTTCACACAAATAGGACAGATGGTGTACCCAGCCCCATGGCTTGTAGTTCTCACTTAACATTGAGTCATAGCTTTGCCTCCAGGGCAGTGCTTGAAGCCAGCCTTTCTAACGACAGTAGTAACTAACATTGTATGTGAAGGTACCATCATGAATGGCTCATTGCTATTCAGTCACTCTAGGTTTTTTTTTTTAAGAAGTATTTATTTATTTAAGAGTGACAGGAACAAAGAGGGGAGTCAGGCAGGGAGGGGGCATAGAGAAGAAGAGAAACAGGTATCTATCTACAGATTCTCTCTCCAAATGGCTCAAACAACCTGGTTAGATCAGGCTGGACCAGGATCCAGAAACTTCATCTGAGTCTCCTGTATGGGCGGCAGGGGCCCAAGTAGCTGTATGTCTTCTGTTGCCTTCCCAGGTGCATGAAGAGGGAGCCAGGTTGGAGTCAGAGCAGCTGGGATGCTGGCACTGCAAGCAGCAGCTTAGCTTGATGTGCCACAATGCCACTGCCTGCATTCATTCTTTCATTTATTCCTTTTTCATTTTTATAAGTCTGTGTTTTTGCATTTTCCCATTTCTTCCTAGTCAGACTTCAAGGGCTTTATCTATCTTCAAAAGGATTGACTTTAGGCTTTTGCCTCGTTCCTTTTGTTATTTTTTTCTTCTATTTTATTAATTTCATATGGTGATCTTTTTATGGCCACTTTTTGATTTTTAAAAAAGATTTACTTTATTTTTATTTGAAGCACAGAGTTACAGAGAGGAGGAGAGACAGAGATATGTTCCACTTGCTGCCTCACTCCTCAGTGGTCAGAGCTGAGCCTATCTGAAGCCAGGAGTCAGGAGCTTTTTCTAAGTCTCCCACGTGGGTGCTGGGACCCAAGGACTTGAGCCATTCTCCACTGCTTTTCCAGGTCATGAGCGGGGAGCTGGATCAGAAGTGGAGGGAACAGCCGGGTCTTGAACCAATCCCCTTGAGGTGCTGGTACTGCAGGCAGTGGGCTCGTGTGCCACAACGTGGTGGGGACACTTACACAAATATTCTAGGCCTCACTGTAAAATGAACCCGTCCCAGGGAAGAAAGGAGCCCCTTCTGTGCATGCCCCTCAAGTGTAGAAACTCTTCCCCATCTGGAATTTGCGGAGAAGCACTGGAATGTGACGTGCTGCTGCTACAACTGGGCACCTGCCCCCGTATTTACTGGATACTTGCAGCATTCTCAGCAAATGCACAGAGCAATCAACATGAAAAAGGGCTGGGGTTTTTTTAATAACTCTTTTTTATTTTCTAAGTTATAGTTAACAAAATGCAACTTCTTTATGATGATTTTCTTTATGATGATTAGGGCACAAAAGGTCAAGGGCTACAGGAAGGTGGGTGAGACCATTATTTCCACAATCTTTTTTTTTCCTTGCTGTGTCTGGGGAAAGAGGGGAAAAAAGGGGAGAAGCCACACCCAGCCTCCCAGCCACCTCTGCACCCTGGGATGGAGGACAGCCACCCAGTACCACCCCAGGGTTCCCAATGTGGGGCATGCTCTGAGGGCACTGCTCAAGAGATTTTGATAGTTCAACAGTTCTGAATTACTGCTTATCTTGTCACTCCAATCACGATGTTGACATAGTCCACCTTAGAGTCTCCGTTTGCTCAGTTATTCACTGCCAGCACTTGGCTGGGGCAGTTGATCAATTTGTTCTGTCCTCCATCCTCCATTATGGTACCAGGTGTCCTCTGCAGGTTTCAATGTACTGCCATATTCTCCATGTGCACCTGGATATGCTGTCCACTGCTCCATCTAAGCCACTGAGAAGGCCCAGCTTCACCATCAGACCATGGAACCTGCAATTCTCTCCATGGTTGGAGTTCTGAGTCCAGCGGTTCAGTTGGAGGGACCTCCAAATAAACTTCATCTGAGGTGACCTCAGACCTGATTTTTGCATGTGCTTGCCAATACAGTCTGTCAAACACAGTCTGTCTCCCCAGTCAGCTTATGCACATACTGGTGGTTGCAATTGCTGTGCAGTTCTGTCCCCAGCCCTGTCTTCTACACAAACCAATGGGTGTTGCAGCCCAGCCCACTCCTGCCCACCATACACTCGCCCCTCATGCAAACCAGTGGGACCTGTTGCCTAGTCAGAGTGACCCACAATAACCCCCACTAGAACTGTCCCCTGTCCTGGTTCCCATGCTTGCCAATATGCACAGCAGACTAGTCCAGTCTATTCCACATCCCCTTCAGCTCTCAAACTTGTCAGTTGGCATTGAAGCCTAGTTTGACATAACCAGCCCCACACTCCAGCCTACACATATGCCAGCAGGTGCCACTCTGTCTAGCCACACCTGCCCCAGTCCTGGTTCTCATGCTCACCAGTCAGAGTGGCAACCCAAGAGGGAGGTGTCCACTGTTTCCCTACTGGACCCACTCCCATTCCTGGATCTTGTATTCTCCAGGTGGTTCTGCAGTTTAACTTGACAGAATTTGCCAATTCTGAACTGGCTTGTGTTGCAACCTGTGTCAGCATCTACCAGCTGATGCTGCAGTAAAGTCCATCCAACCCACACCCACTCTGACTTATGCATGCACCAGTTTGAACAGTTGACCTAGGCTGGGAAGCTCACATGAGGCCCACAGGTGCTGTAGCTCTGCCTTGCTCAGTCTGCCCGCATCCCAGCTCTCACGCTCACCTGTGGGAGTGGTAGTCCAGCAGTCCATGCAGTCCCGCTACTGGTTTTGTCCCCCTCTTCCCATGGGTCTCATGTGGGCTGGTTTAGTGCTGTGGCCCAGGCTAGCATGACCTACCTCACCTTGGCATTTGCCAGTGGGTGCTGCAGCCTGGCCAGGCCCAGCCCACCCCTAGTTCCAGTCACTCATGGGGGCTACAGCCTAGCCCAACCCAGCCAGCCACAAGGCTTGGACGTCATGTGAACTGGCTTGTGTTGCGGCCCAACCTGGCCCGACCCACACTCCATTCTGGTGCTTGGATTCACCAGAGGATGATATGAACTGGTCCAGCTGGTGTTCCCCTTTCCCTGAGCCAAATATATGCCAGTGGGTACCATTTCTTGGCCTGGTCTGGGCTTCTCCCTATCATGATTCTTGTGGTCACCTGCAGGGACTGTGTCCTGGCAGAGGAGTTTCCCAAGCTCCTCCATGAGAACCTCTCCCAATGCCAGATTTCATGCACACCAGTGAGTCCATGGGCCAGCCCTATTTAGGCTACCTCATAAAAGGACTCTTTAAAAAAAAAAAGATGTTTGCATTTTGGGGGAGTGGAAATAGAGATGGGCTTATGTGTGTGAAATCATAGTGGTGTATAAGACCAGCTGATGTAGTATGGCACAGGCTGGGGACAGCACATTTGTTTTCAAAAGGAGGATACGAAAGAATTCATGGAAATGGAGGAAGTTAGATGGGACCCTCGCAGAATGTGTCTCCTGGAAGGATGGCAAGATGGGGGCTATGGTGACAAGAGTGGGGGACACAGGGCAGAAAGGAACCTGCAGAGTGGGGGGCAGAGGCTGAGGAATGATGCAAGGGGAGCTGGTGTTATGTTCAGTGGTTTATTTGAAATTGTCTTTAAGATATTCCCCAAAAAGATAAAATCGTGGCTCTCGAGCATTTGTAGAAGCAGACCAAAGCCTTTGTAAGTCATGAGTTACTGAGGGAATCAGTAAGATAATATAGAGGAGTTGAGTCCACAGGTGTGGACCCCGTGTGGGATGGAGGTAAAATCCTTGTGTTCATGGTTGGACAACTTAATAGACACATGTGAAGATAAGATTGCTAGGTTAGATGAAAGTTCATGTCTTGCGTTGCAACCAAGTCATCTTTCAGATTATCTATTCTGTTAGGTAGAAGTTATTTGCATCTCTAATAGGAGTAGATTTGTCCATTCCTGTGAGGTCCCTAAGCCTGGGACATGGACTAGACCTCATTTGTAGTGGTAATCAAGCTAAGTACATTCGCCTAGGAAGTCTTATTACCCATGACATGAAAAGATCTGCCATCCTTCTCCTTCATCTCCACGTTTCAGGTAATTGTAAAAATAATGCCCCAAAAGAAATGGAAAAGCCCTGTTTGTTTGTTTTTTAAGATTTATTTATTTGAAAGTCAGAGTTGCAGGAAGGGGGAGAGAGAGATCTTCCATCTGTTGGTTCACTTTCCAAAGGGCTGCAGTGCCTGGCACTGAGTCAGACAGAAGCTTCTTCCAGATAGCCCTTGGGCCAGCCTCCATCTTCTTTCCCAGGTGCATCAATAGGGAACTGAATCAAAAGGAGGGGAGCCAGCACATAAACCAGAGTCCATTTGGTATACCAGCACTGCAAGCAGCAGCTTCCCCTGCATTGCCACAGCACCAGCCCCAATCCTGTGGTTTGTTGTGGTACCCTGCTGTGTGGCTCTGTGGCTAGTGGAACCTTCGTGTGTTTTAGTTCTGTGTTTAGTATCTGAGTGATGCAAAACAAAAATTCCAAAGACCCTTTTGGCGCAGAAGCCTGTATGTTTGCTTCCACAATGTTTTCTCCTGAGCTACTGCTGGAAGTCAGCTCTGTGGGCTTGGATCTGATGGGAGATGTAGGGGGGCCGAAATGGGGCATGAGTCATGTTCCCTGCTGGCTTGTCCCCAGATGCTGAGCTGGGGGGTGTGGCTGGGTTCCTGGGACTCTTTCTGGCCAGCCCTTCCTACCTGGAATCCCCTGTCAGTGTGTTGCAGGTGCCATGTATATCACTGGCTTTGCTGAATCCATCTCGGATTTGCTGGGCCTCAGGAACATCTGGGCCGTGAGAGGCATTTCGGTGGCTGTGCTCCTGGCCTTGCTGGGGATTAACCTGGCAGGGGTCAAGTGGATCATCCGCCTCCAGCTGCTGCTGCTGCTCCTGCTGGCCGTGTCCACGCTGGACTTTGTGGTGGGCTCTTTCAGCCACTTGGACCCAGGTAAGCCTTTGGGAGTCAAGGCCATGGCCTGGAGCGTCTGCTGGGCCGGTAGGTGATTGTGAGCTGGCCAGCTGCACCCATCTCCCCGGCGGCTCTGCCTAACGGCTGTGTGGGCTGCTCCTGATCAGGTGCCTGGATGGTTCTTGGGGTAACTCCATAGGCACTTTCTGTACCCCAGCTTCACCAAGATGTTTTTGCTTAGCACCTTCACCATATTTCCTTTTATTTTCTTTCTGCTTAAAATGAAGCCTAGAATATTTTTTCCAGATGTTATTGCTTTCATTTGTCTTTTAAAATTTTTTTAAAAGATTCATTTATGGGCCCGGCGTGGTGGCACAGTGATTAAGGTCCTCGCCTTGCATGCCTGGGATCCCATATGGGCACCGGTTCTATCCCGGCAGGCCCCGCTTCCCTTCCAGCTCCCTGCCTGTGGCCCGGGAAAGCAGTTGAGGACGGCCCAAAGCTTTGGGACCCTGCACCCTCGTGGGAGACCTGGAAGAGGCTCCTGGCTTCGGATCGGCATGGCATCAACTGTTGCGCTCACTTGGGGAGTGAATCATCGGATGGAGGATCTTCCTCTCTGTCTCTCCTCTCCGTATATCCGCCTTTCCAATAAAAATAAAATAAATCTTTAAAAAAAAAGATTCATTTATTTTTATTGGAAAGGCAGATTTACAAAGAAAAGGAAAGACAGAGATAACAATTTTCAATCCATTGGTTCACTCCCCAAGTGACTGTAATGGCCAGAGCTGCGCTGATCTGAAGCCAGGAGCCAGGAGCTTCTTCCAGGTCTCTCATGCAGGTGTAGGGTCCCAAAGGTTTTGGTCATCCTCAGTTGCTTTCCCAGGCCACAAGCAGGGAACTAAATGGGAAATGAAGCAGCTGGAACACAAATCGGCACCCGTAAGGGATCCCAGCTCTTAGAGGAAGAGGATTAGCCAGTTGTGTTGTGCCACCAACCTTCCCCCCACCCCCCACCCTTTTTTAAAGCTGTTATTTATTTGATAGGTAGAGTTACAGAGAGGAGAGCTAGAGAGCTTCCATCAGCTGCTTCACTCCTCAAATGACTACAACAGCAGAGCTAGGTCCGTCTGAAGCCAGGAGCTTCTTCTGGGTCTCCAGTGTGGGTGCAGGAGTCCAAGAACCCACATACTGTGGGCTATGTGCTCCTGTCTGAGGCCTTTAGCAGGGAGCTGATACCCAGAGCATTTAGATGAAACAAGGAAAAAGTACATCCAGATGGATAAAGATCACATTCATAACAGTGAGTGTGAAAATGGGCAAGAAAGCATTGTAGGAGCAGGGAAGAAAATAGACTTAATCTGTCATAGTTGCTTTTTACTTCCCCTTTTTCTCTTTTAAAGACTTGGTGTATTCTAACAAATGTTAACAATTGCCATTTCTGGGAAATGGGGACAGACCTATGTTTGGTGCTAATTTTCTATACCAAAGCATTTCCCTCCAACTAAAAATATTAATCCATTAGCTACACTTGGTAAACAGCTAGGTGTAGCTTTGTACGTTTTGGGAATGGGGACATGTGTCTGTGATCAATCATTGCTTAATAATCCTCCCAGCAACACTGACCCTGGGTGCTTTGCGCTGTGTGAGGGGCTGTCACCAGGGTGTCCCTAACTTTGTACTTCTCTAGTCTGGTGGTTTGCCCTTGGAAGTCTTGGCTGTTTTCTGGAGTACAGAGCTATTCTGGGGTGCTATGGAAACAAGGCAACTGCCTGATATTTCATTCATCAGGGTCTCTGGGTAGTGACCACGACCAGGCATCCACACAGGAGCCTGGATAGGGGAAGGGGGTCACCAACTGTGTTAAAAAATATCCAAAAATCCAAAGTGCTGCCCTACAGATGGTGCCCTCCACAGATGGGTTAGTGGTGGCAGTGACCACACGCGGCAGCCCTCACTGTGTGCCAGGTCCTATGTTGGGCCTAGCTCTTCTTCAGTCCTTAGGAAAACCTCATGAGGTGGGGCAATCACACCCACTTCACAGATAGAGAAGCTGAGGTGCCACTGCGTGGAAAAGCGTGGCAGCTGGGCCATGAGACTGGAACCCTCTGCTCCCAGAGCTGGGCTGTTCTCTGAGGTGGAGGTAGGCCTGTGCTCACACTCCACAATGCCCATTGGTCTTAACAACACTACTCTTCCCCTTTGAGACTGCTCTTGATGTGTTCATGTATTTATATTATTTGAAAGGATGAATTACAGCTGGTTCATTCTCCAAACGGTTGCAACAGCCGCAAATCAAGAACTCCCATCTGGGTCTCCCACCTTGAGGGGCAGGGACTCAAGCTCTGCCGTCCTCTGCTACTTTCCCAGGTGTGTGAGCAGCAAGTTGGATCAGAAGTAGAGCAGCAGTAAACCACTGTCCATTTGGGATACCAGTGTTACAAGAGGTGGCTTCACCTGCTGTGCCCCAATGCTGGCCCCTGATGTGTGTTCTTGTGTAACAGTGTTGTTTGTGGAAAGGCCAGAATGCAGTTGGCACCTGCTGGTCAGGTCTGATCACCTCATGTGTTATAATTCTTCTGTTGGAAAATGTCATTCCCTCGTGTCCCCTACCCTCTGCCATCTTGAGGCTTCTCCCAGAACCCCCCAGAAGATTTGGCTCTCAGAGGCAAGCCCTGTGCAGGTGCCCCTAGCACCCACTGCTTACATTAAGGGCTACCTTGTTTGCCACACTGGTCATCTGCGGCCTGGGCCTTACAGCTTGCTAACTGGAGCGTATCCCTAGCTCCGTAGAGACAGCTCACATACTGGGAAGTGAGGGGGAGGGGAAATTGCTTTGGGCCTTGAACTGTTCGTGAAGGAATAAGTCCTCTGCAGATTCCCAGGTCCTCTTCCCTCCCTCCCGCTTTGGATGTGGTTACTCAAAGGGCTTAGGTGGTTACACTGCTGGCACATGCTCCTGGCTTTCCCTGAATCTGTGTTGGGCCGGTATATTTTCCTTTTGTGCTCTTAGAAGTTTCCTTGGCTGCTCCTCTTGAGTTACTCCAAATATTTCTGCTTCCTTCTGGTCAGCACATTAGCAGGGTGTAGTGTGAAATGAAATGTATTTGCAATCATTGCCATAGCAACAGGCCCCTCCAAGATCTGTTTTTGGTATCACCGACGGTTTATATGGGTGCCTTTCCTTGCGGGGACAAATCCACATGGAATCAGACTGCCGGCTTTCAGAGCAGGTTTAGCAGCATGACAGCAACTCTTAGGAAAAGCGACAGACCGAGATGTTTGAAAAAAAATGACTGGAAAGAAGTGTGCCAATGTGGTAGCAGCCATTGTGCTGAAGTTTCTGCTGAAGTTCTGGGAGGCTGGGAGGCTGCTTTGGTCTCGATTTGCTAGTGTTGTTTTTGAAAGCATGAATAGCATGGTTTCTAGAGCAGGTTTAGGTTCCTTGGATAACATGGAGATTCTATAGACCACTTCTCACCATAAGCCTCCCCAAGTTCTTGTGTTAGTAACCCCCTTTCCTGATGGGGTGCATTGATAACCACAGAATTATCAAAACAGATGTGTGTCACTTTAGGGTTTATTTTGATGTTGTGTTCTGTGAGTTCCAACCTGTGTGTGATGCCCTGTATCCATCGTCGCGGCAGCCTCTGAGCAGTCTACCCCGAGTACCTGTTACACCACCTGCTGACCCTGCCACCTTGTCTGCTGGCAGCCCCTGGTCTCTGCACTGTCTTCATGGCATGCCCTTTTCAGGATGGTATGTAGGTGGAGTTCTACAGCGGCAGGCTCTTCCGACTAACGCAGCAAGCTACATGCATTTGAAGTCCTTCTGTGTCTTTTGTGGCTGATAGTGTCACTGTTTGCTGTTCTGTTGTCGGGGTGTCCATCCACCGCCCTTAAGGATAACCTACCTCTGTGCTCGGGCTATTCTGAGCAACTCTTCTCTGCTCACTTGGGTTAGTACCCAGTGGTCTGGTTCCTGGGTCTCCGGGGCAGGCACCGTGTGCTTGGTAGGAAGCTGCCTAACCAGCTTCCAGAAAGGCTGTGCTGCTTTGCCCTTCCAGCAGCGGACGGGGATTCTTGATGCTCTACCTCCTTGTTGGCTTTTGAAGAATTAATTTAGTGATTCTGTTAATGTGCAACAGAGTCTCATTGCTGTGCTAATTGATAGTTCCCTGGCGATGTGATGCTGAGCCATTTTATGTCTGCTCGTTTGCCATGTTTGTTAGCTCTGCTGAGGTCTGTCTGGAGCTTTTGCCCTTTTTGATTGGATTGTTTCCTCTTTGATTTCTTTGAAAGGCAGAGACAGACAGACAGACAGACACACACACACACACACAGCTGTCTTCAGCTGGTTCAATCCCCACATGCCTGCTAATAGCAAGGACTGAGTCAGACCAAAGCTGGGCACAAAGAGCTCAGTTCTGTCCCAGGGCAGCAGGGGCTCATCCACGTGGCCCATCACCACTGGCTTCCAGGGACGGCGTTAGCAGAAAGTCAGGCACCAGAGCCAAATCAAGAAGCAAACGCATGCGCTCCAGCCTGGTGCGTGGGTTACCTGGCTGCTGCAGCAGATGCCTGCACCTGTGTCCTTTCAGTTGAAGTTTAAGAGTTCTTCATATGTTTTAGAGACAAACTTTCTAACGAGCATTTCCTTGTCTTTTGCTTGTCTTTTCATTCTCTCTCTTTTAAACATTCATTTATTTTTTTATTGGAAACTCAGATTTACAGAGAAGAGAGAAAGATATCTTCCATCTGCTGGTTCATTCCCCACAAGTGACCACAGTGGCCAGAGCTGAGCCAATTTGAAGCCAAGAGCTTCCTCCAGGTCCCCCGTGTAGGTGCAGGTCCCCAGGCTTTGGGCCATACTCTAATGCTTTCCCAGGCCCAAGTACCTGAGTTGTCACCTCTGCTTCCCAGGGCCTGGATAGCAGGAAGTCAGGCAGGAGCAGAGGTGGATGGGGAACCCAGGCGCTGCAATGTGGAGTGTGGGCCTGACTTTTTTTTAGGTTTATTTTTATTGGAAAGTCAGATAT